GTTATTAACCTTCATACTTAAAGATGAGCAAGTTTAATATTATACAGAAAAAAAAACCTCTAAATATATTTGTTCCTTCAGGCAGTAGGAAACAGGCATTTCTGTTCACCCAGATCCACTAATTATTACTGCAAGAGTAAAAGTCCATTCCTTTCATAGACACTTTTAGATAAAGAGCAACTTTCCCATTTTTTCTTTGTTTACATATATTTATAGAATTTTTAAGTTTGAAACTGACAGTTTAATTATGGTTGTCTGCAAATGGCAGTTCATTATTTTATTTACAATTTGTCTGTGATCTGAAACAAATATAATTGCAGAGAAATAGCCAAAACTACTACTGCTACTTTGAAAGGTTCCCTGTCTTTACTGAGAACATCAAGATAGGAAGCACTTCTTCTGGTATGTTCTCCAGCACCACACGTGAAACAAAAGCTAAATAAAAACGTGTAATGTAGTTCTTACTCAAAGTCACATGGTTTCAGCTGCCAAGTTTCGGTTAAGAGTTTTTATTTCCTCCTTTGTATTTGAATGAAATTACAATCCTCCTCTGAATTATTAATTTCATGACCAGTAAGTGTAGCCATTTTTTAGATGCTATGTATAAGTAATGAAAATATCTAACATAATTACGGTTTGTACAGGCAGGATTAACATGTTGGCATTTTTAATCTACAGAAATAAAAAGCCTACCACTTTCTCAAGCCAATTTGGCTGGTATTACATTATAAAAATCATCCCTCCCTCCCCCCCCCCCCCCAAGTGTATTTGGATAATGAAAACACCTTTGGGTTTCAGAGAAAGTATCTCAAAGGAAAAACATAATTTGTGATCAAGCAGCTGGAACTTGCTTATTGACAGCTGGATTATGTTTGACATTTTTAGGGTGCTTACAAGAACTGACGGTGTCATGAGAACTGCAACAGGAACATAAAATGCACATTAAGTTTTTCTGCCTAAGATTAATCTGCTCTTTTGATCAAGAAAATTTATAAATCACGACTGGACTTGATTAATAGCAGGTGCAGACAAGCTGGAAAGTTATTTTGCAAGTCCATTGCTGAGCAGCAACATGGTTACCACCTATTCTTAAGATTGTACTTTAAGGTTTTAACTAATTAAAGATAGAAATGCACACACTTCTATAATAGCAAGCACCAGCATTCACAAAATAGTGATCTTATAAAGGCTAGAAACAGCAACTTTTTCTTGTAACCAGGTTTATGACTTCATATGAAGCAAGAAGCTTGAGAATACTTTTAAATTCACTTGGGTTTCCTCATGGCCATGCATTCATATATTTTCTGGAGAGCTATGAGCATATTCAGTGAGATGCTTCTCTTCCTCATGCACTGGAGCACTTAATTCCCTTGCAACACCTTCAGCTAGTGCCTTTGAGGATATAAAGCCCATGAGTTTATGAAGGAAAGTGATCCAGATAATTGAAGTTACATCTAAGGACAAGAAAGACTAATCTCATGCTGACTGGGATCAAAGCCAGCTGCTATGATGACAGCTATCACCTCTGCTATCTCCACTGTGTCAGAGGGACCACAAGTCTGTGACAACAGTTAAAGCAAAAGGAAACTTAAAACACCAAATGCTTAACAAAAACCAGAGGAAATATTTCCCATTTAATAACACGTGTTTCAGTATCCCAAGCGCATTAGTCATGTCATTAAAGTGGATTTGATTTGAGGAAAAAAAATAAAATCCCACCCAAAATAGAGACAACTCAGAAATTAATAAACAAAATATATACATGAAACAGTCTAGAATTGCCTTTCCCAGTACAAAAAACCTTATACAGGAAAGTGTCTAACACTTGCACCTGTTCCTAAAATCTGATCGGTAGTGTATTGGAAGTTGAAGTCACTTTGCATTTATTGTCCTATGACTGAATTGATGTACAGTATTTTCCTTGTTATGGAAGGTAAATCTGCACCACCAGGAGATCAGGACTGTAGAGAAAGAAAACCCAAGACCAAAAAATTTAGCAGCTAGAGATACTTACTAATAAAATTATGAACCCAAGAGTTACATGATATTAAATATTTGCTGTTACTGTTATTTTAAAAGTACTATTTATCTTGCTTTAATAGAGAGAATATTAGATTTTTTATGTAGAATTTCTTAAGTCTGATTTCCAGTAGTATCAGCAGCTCTGTATTATACTTAAGGTTTTCCTTTCTTATCTGCATTACATTGATTTACTGCAACATTACTTGCAGTATCAAGTCCATGTGTTTTTTTGTCATTTCTGCTAAGTTCAGCTCAGCAAATTCTACATCATTAATGAATAAAACCATTAATTATCTGAATTGATCGTGTATCCACATAGGTAATCCCGGACTATTCCAGCAGACTACCAACATAGCAGCTAATATTGTGCTCATTTAATAAACACAACATCTGTCCTCTATGAAGTATCTCTAGACTGTGGGATGGTCACAAAGCAGCCTCCAACAGGAAGGACTAAACAAAGCAAAAAACACAAACCATTACTATCTCTCTGCATTTTCAACTCCAAGCTCCTGTTCTTTAAATGGGAAATACAAAATTCCTCAGACATTTTACCTTACTTCATTGCCCCCCCTCCCCCTACCCCCATTATTTCAGGATGACTGAAGATAAGACAAAATCATTCTATAACACTGCTTAAGTGGTGATTGTGACAAAGACTTTCAGGTATTTGTAAAGAGCATAATATAATGCCAAAAATTACATTACTAATATCTGCTGAGTGAATGCGAGTAAGATTGTTACTGTTTGGCAAATGGCAGCCTAGGCAGTTCCCACCATCTGTCCCCTTGCAGCAGCTGCCACCAGGAGCACCTGCACAGGCAATGGTCTGCAGTCTGCTCAGCAGTGGCCCATGGGCAGCAGGGAAACTGGAGTCAGCATTTTGCTTGAAGTCCCTCCCATTCTCCAGGCAGTGAACAGGAAGGAATCTGGTTTGGTTCCTTACAACATTTGTCCAGCAGTACAAGAGCGCCTCTGTTCTTACTTTTTGCAGCAGTTAAAATAACTGGTGGGTTTCAGCCCAGTTCCTGTGGCAGCTTCTAAAAAGACCAAGATAAAACGTAGTCTGTTGAAACCAAACTTGAAGAGGCTGGTTCACAGAAACTGAAATCTTTAGATCTCATTATAAAAACTGTTAACAGATAAAACCTTGAGTGGGTTTAACCCTACCCCAGCTACCTTCTCCTGGGATTCTTTTGCCACCTAATGACTACACAAAGGGCCCAAGACAAAAGCAGGCAATTACTTTTCCTCCCTTTTCTGGTGGTGGATTAGCAGATAGTAACAACACATTTCTCTGCTACTAGAGCTTCCTTTTGCCTGGATGTTTAAAAGGAAATACATAAATGAATGACAGTGCTTAAAATAAAAGCATTAAATATTCATAGCAGAAATTCCATAAATGTAGGTGTAATCCATGCAAAGGCCATTTTGGTGTGCACTTTAACATGGACCTAAGAAAGCATTAAGTATCCCCTTACTGACTATATCCTTAATGCAGAAAGCAGCTTCTGGAAAAACTTCACTAGCTTTGCCATGGAATTAGATCTGCTATCTCACTGGGCCAGCCTGCAAATCTGTGCAAGCTTTAGACATAGATTACTCAGAACAAACAAAATGCAGATGCTTTTAAGTGCAGGAGAAAACTTGGGAGGCAGCTTGTCCTTTGACTGAAGATCTCTCTCTGTTGTACTGGCCCAAGAGCAGTGTGCATTTGGTTTGTTGTTTTGTTAAAAAAAAAAAAACCAACAACAAAAACCCATTTATATTTTGTTAGTTTCTGTTCATATTAAACTAAATCCTCAGATTTTGGCTTCAACTACAACTTCTTTTAAAACATCTAGGTATCGTAAATACAGGTATTGCAACATAGCAACTTACAAGGATATTAACAACAGCTTAGATGAAGCAAACTATTTGTCCTATCCCAGTTTCCTTAAGCAATCATCTAAAAAGCATTAGCTCTGAGTAAGAGCAACTGACTCACAAGCAGTCCTTCCTCCTGGCTTTAAAACTGCTTTTCTCATAAGACAAGGTCATTAGGAGACCTAATGAATATTTTAAAAGCCATAGGGATTATTTCATGTAAAACAGGGTTCTGACCAAGAAATAGAATAATTCAGAAATGTTCTAGACTTGGTCAGAGAATAAGGGGGTTTTGTTTGTATTTACTAGTTTAACTTCCACACAGTACCAATCTACAGAGTAACTTCTTTGACCAGACGCACCATAAATATCTAATGCACTGGAAATAGGGCTCAGTTTAGTTTGTAAATAAGGACTACAAAAGCAAAGTAAGGTATAAAGACATAGTTATAAAATACACTAGAATATACAAAAATATTAAACCTTATTAAAGTATCATTCCTGGGCACTAGTGACAGTTTTATAATTAATAACAAAACAGTTAACTGCACTAAGCAGTGTGACAAATTAAATTTCTATTTGTGTATAATTATCACAGTATCACAGTATCACAGTATGTTAGAGATTGGAAGGGACCTCAAAGGATCATCTAGTCCAATCCCCCTGCCGGAGCAGGAACACCTAGATAAGGTTACACAGGAACGTGTCCAGGCGGGTTTTGAATGTCTCCAAAGAAGGAGACTCCACAACCTCCCTGGGCAGCCTGTTCCAGTGTTCCGTCACCCTCACTGAGAAGAAGTTTCTTCTCAGGTTTAAGTGGAACCTCTTGTGCTCCAATTTGTACCCATTACCCCTTGTCCTTTCATTGTTTGCCACTGAGAAGAGCCTGGCTCCATCCTCGTGACACTCCCCCTTTATATATTTATATACACTAATAAGGCCACCCCTCAGTCTCCTCTTCTCCAAACTATAGAGACCCAGGTCCCTCAGTCTTTCCTCATAAGGGAGATGCTCCACTCCCTTGATCATCTTAGTTGCCCTGCGCTGGACTCTCTCCAGCAGGTCCCTGTCCTTCTTAAATTGAGGGGCAAAAAAAAAATTAGAAACCCCAGTCTTTCTTCAAGAACAACCAGGATCCACCATATTTTTGGTCCAAGATGTATGCTTTAAGCTGGCAGCTGAGTCTACGAACGAGTGTATTTACCCCAGATGTGCAGCATAAACACAGAAGCAATAAAAAGAAGACTCATGACCAAAACTGGAACAGGCCCAACTTTGAGCCCTGGAGAGTCCTCAGTGTAGAATCGCCACATCCCACCAGTGCCTGTGGATGTGGCACGGCCTGCACTTCTTGTCCCGCAGCTGGCATTTTTCCTCTGCCGGACAGTGGAGCCCGCGGCACGAGGAGCCACGGCCTTGCTAGGGGAGCGGCCGGAGGAACCGACGCTCGTAGCGCTGGGGTTGGGCCCGGGCATGGCGGCAGCGTCGACGCTGGCTCAGCAGTCAACACGGCTCCACACACGCTCCCGAACGGCTGCTCCGGCCACGTCCCTGAAGATAAGATAATTATGTTCCATAATATTGGGAGGGAAGGGCATTTTTGTTTACCCTGAACTACATACTACATAATTTTTATAGATTCATATTCAGAAATATATTTGGTTGTGTAGAATAATCCAATGAGTAACATCACTTTACCCAAGACTGCAATTATAGTTTTGAATTGGATGCAGTTCTGTTTTTGCCATCATAGTAGTCAGGGCCACTTGAGCCATTTAACATCTAAGTGAGCACTGAGGAAAATAAAAGCTTCATTTTTCAAAAACAAAGTGTGGTATAAACTGACAAAATAATTAAAGCTTACATTTTTAGTATGCAGCATCACCTTCCCTGGCAATAAAACTACTCTATGTGGAGCTATCACACTATTTGATGAGAGCAGAAGTGCTACCCTTAAAGGGCTATTCTGTTTTAGTGAGGACAGACATTTAAGGCTGAAATGGGGGGGAAGTACTTAAGAAAATCAGACTAGTGTTATTCTTTTCTTTTTTCCGCCTTTTGTTGAAATAACACTAAGAGTTTAAGATTTCAAAGGTTCTAAGTGGGCTACACAGACTCTTTCATTCGATTATGACGTGCATAGGCAGATATATCAGACATTTAATGATACAGTATTGTGTTATTTACAGATATGTTCACATCTCATATGGAAACCATTTCAGTAGTGTCTGATTAATAAATTAACTACAAAAATATTGATACATGCAACAAAGCCCCCATGTGATAAGCAATTTCATTTATGTTCAATTCTTTTCAGAACTAATCAATATATGAAAGACAATGTTTCAGGGCTTAAGGAGAATATTTGGAAGGTTTTTCCAGAGACCATCAAGCTAGTTAAGCTCACACTGAAACACTGGCCTCCTCCAGATGTCCATTTTATTCAGAACTCTCTCAGTTCACCGCACATCCCAGTTTCCCTCTCCACCTTGGAGAGATTGCTTAATACCTACTCTTGATATGTATAGAAATTAAGCATTACATTACTGCTAAGTATTAGTATTGTATGAAAGAAACCAGTAAGCAAGAAAAAAAAAAAAAAGGCCCTCACTTTCTTAAAAAATAAGCCCTACCTTCACAGGTTAGACATCCATGCTACAGTTGAACCTTACATATTAACCATATCAGCATTTGTGAGAAAGGATATTCTACTAGATTACTCAGTATAATTTAGTAGCTGCTTAAACTCAACCCTGATGGATTAAAATAAAAGTTTATCGTCACCTCCACTGACATATCTGCAAAGTTTCTTGTTAGTTATTAGCGCTTCAAAAAAAGGAGAATTGGAAGATATCTTCCTGGCAGGTACTGTGCTATTTTTGATAGGTACTACTAAATCTGCATACTGCTCTAGAGCAGGCATGCATTGTAAAGCAGTATCCAAGAAAGGTGGAACAGGAAAAGTACCCATACATGTTATATGTCTAGCAAACTCAGCTGGTAGCTAAGAACCTACAAAGTGGATGAGAGCAGTGGGACAGCTGTGGTGGAAGTAAAGGTAGACTTTAAAACCTAGCACATACTGTAGTTCTCTTGCAGATACATTGCCTAAGGTGCTTGCTTTTGCTTTCTTTAAGATCTGCACTGTAAATCTCACATTTTTAGAGGACTTTGGAATTGTAATGCTTCCTCTTCATCACTAGAATATTTTCCAACACTGTTAAATTAAGTAAGCTCATTAGCAGTATCTTATACCTGAAGAAGGTGGGAAGTCTTGATAAGTTTCTGCAGTAGAAACAATTTGTCTAGTATTGGGAACAGAGGCAGTCTGCCATGCCTTGTAACACCAAACACTGCAAACAAGCACAATGTAGGCAGGTGAAGAAATGTGAGGGAGTATATCCCAGATATTGTAGAAAATAAGGAGCAAGAAACTGCTCCCATTACATAGATAACACACCAGATTGACCACTATCCTAAGTGAAATGAGTAATAAAGACAACAGCTCCCAACAGCTGCTTACACTATTTCTGTACACATTGGTGTGCACAACAAACTTCTAAGTTACAGACTGCATTTCAGGACTGTTGACAGTCTTAAGCCAACATAGCAGCTTGGTGTAAGGTCCAGCAACTCACCAAAAGAAGGTGAGGTAGGAGTCAAAAGGGCACCTAAGACTAGCAGGGCATACCTTATTGTATCCAAGCAAGGTCAGCAGAAGACTGTAGACAGGTCAAACCAGGAGTCCACATCATAAAGTAACACACAAATAAGGCAGTACTACAGCAAGCCAGTTCACATGCTAAAGTCTAACTGTGCAGGAACCTTTACCAGCAAATATACAGCTATAGAGTCATAGAAGAGTTACGGTTGGAAAGGACTTTGAGACCATCTAGTTCCAACCTCCCTGCCATAGGCAGGGACACCTCACACTAAGCCGTGTTACCCAAGGCTTTGTCCAACCTGGCTTTCAACACCAATATAGCTAAACTAAAATCCCACACCCCCAAAAACCAGAAACAATGAAAACCTCAGAGTTGAGGTTAAATAGTGCTTCCTGACCCACAGGTGTGGTGGAGGTTTCAGGTGAGGCTTGTCAAGGCCATTAAGGCTTATTGTCCACTCAGGGCCCTGACATTTGTTAGTGTCAACTGATTAGGATCTACCTTCTGGAGCCTAGAAGCAGGAAAAGGAGAGATCTGGAGGGGTTTTCTTTTAAGGTAGGTATAGTGTGTCATTATTAGAAGTATCCAAAGATATGGAGACTAGGGTTAAAACAACAGAAATCTGCCCATGTGTTATCTTATGTCCCTTATCCATTTCAGCTGGATACCCAGCTCTAAAGGGAGCAAGACTCTCTCTCTGCCTAATTTTACCACTGGTGAAGATCAGTGACCATTACCCCTTGAAAAAGACATGTTTAGGATTTCAAAACTTCTTTGCTTGTCCAGTGTGGTAGCATACTCCCCTTCACACCTGACCTTTATTTCCTATAACCCTACTGAAGCAACAACCACCAGTGGTGGTCAGAATATATGTATCTGGTTGTGGTGGCTGCAACAACCAGGAGCTAATTTGAGCAATGCACGCACCTAATCACAGTGCTGATCAAAGTCCAACTCAAGCCAGGTTTGGAAAAAACTAGGATCTGTAGCTGATATGCAAATATGAATACAAGTCAATCATCATACTCTATAAATAGTAGTAGCCCAAGGCCTGTGCCGCTCTCCTGCATGGCAGTGCACTGTGCACCCCTATCTCCTTTTGAGTAGGAATGCCTCTCAAGGTTACTCCCCAGGGTTGAGAGTATCCTTATCACATCAGATCCTTGATATATGAATTAGGAATAAGTGCACTCAAACTTTGAAATCTTAGCTAAGTGATATAAAAGATTGATAGTGCACATAAAATAGTTTAGTCATAAACCACTGACAAAGTCTGTATCTAGCCTCGCCTCTGAGAAAAGACATCCCTTTGAGAAAGGAGTTTAGAAAGCAATGCGGTCCTTTTGGAACCTCATGACCCAATGGGAGGGTCTCTGACAGTTTTGTCTGACCCTATCCTCTATGCAGTAAATAATCAAGTGAACCTTGCCATCAAATCTTCTTAAACCATTGTCAATTTTACTACCAAACTTTGTTAAATCACTGCTTTATATCAATAAACATATCACTGCTTCTCTTTTACAAGTGAAGTGTGTGATTTCATCTATGACACTGAAGTGCCTGCAGGCAGGACAGAGTAATTACAAACTTCTCAAGAGAATGCTTGCTGTAGTCTCTTGGCAACAGAATCAGAATTTCATTCACTGGCCAACAGGCATTAAAATTTACTTCAGGTGCTAATGAAGTCCCTGCAATCCAAACGCTAGCTCAAACTGCTTTTAGCCCCTAGTGAGAAACTGTTCCATCATGCCTACCTATATATCTATATAAACATTAACACAAGTATTTCCCACTTTATTTGCAAACTTTCACCTTTCTATCTCTGTTTCCATCCAAACTTTCAATCTTAAGTCATGTTTCACCTTTCTTTGCTCTCCCATAGTAGTATGTTTTAATGAGGACTCACTTCATCTATACTATCCAGGTTGTCAGTCACCATTTTTGCTTGGCAACAAGAATGATAATCTATCAAAGACTGTACCAATCTATAAAATGACTGCATTTTTTTTCTGATTGAATTAATATTGGTTTTCAATCCTAGCACAATTTATATTTTCCATTTAATACTGGTTTTAAATTAAATAAGTAAATTTACACTATTGGTGTGTAGACTGATATTTTGGTCTTTCAGAAAGCAAGCAAAAGTAATTATATTCTCTAGTACCTCCTTAGTTCTTATGACTTCTAGTTGTAATGTCATTCAAAAAGATCAGGAAAAGCTAGCTATTGCCTATTACAAGGAAATATTGATAAAACTGTCTTACTTAATGGGAAGCCATCTGATATTTTAAAGAAGTCCAGATCACCTATGAAACTTTAAGACCCTTAACACTTGAGGATTTTACCATTAACTTCTAATATCTCATTTCAACCCTCCTGGTGAACATTTTGAATGCTTCTTACCTCATAAACAAACCCTTTTAATAATGTTTTTGTGACAGCTTTTGCTTGGTCTAGAAGACCCATAACTTTTCTAGATTTTATTTTTTCTGTAAAAGTGTGAAAGTGAGCTGGCATTTACAATCTGTTATTATATTTGGAAAACATGGTTGCATTTTAAACCATGCCATTGAGTTGAATTCAGAAATTTGAAGCTTCATTTTAGTTTGGAGAGGAAGAGTATATAGATATGTTGAGAAGCAATATGAGAGAAATAAATTATTTGTGATCTTGCAGACCAGACTTTTATTTTCCATTGAACCCAAATAGAATACACTCATTTTCCATTCACTTTGTGGACCTTTTTGTACTGAAGATATTTATGTATTGCTCATTTCTCCAATATTTTATAACCTCTCAACCATAACTGTAAACCAGACTAAAATTAACCATTTTCCAATTTGTCCTACCATGTAAATGCTTGCTAGTTTTATTGATTGCATT